GAAATATTGTAAAAAATTAATGTACTGACATAGATTATGTTCTTACCTTTAAGTTTGATATCCGATTAATTCACTTTATTATTAAAGCCAATTACACAATATTGGTTCTTCTGATTGCACATTTGCTATGTTCTAAGTTTGTATAAACAGACAAAGACAGCATATGCGAGTTTGGCATACTTTTACTTCTCTTACTCGTGTACAAAAAAATAAATATATAATAAATATATTTAATCATATTACAAATGTTTAATATAGGAATGTATAGTTGGGTTCAATTTTGCAAGTGAAGATGAAGCTGCTGTGTTTGAAGAGACAGTAATTAATTTACAAAGAAGAAGACGGGAAAAACGATTGGGTAACTTAATTTTTTTTGAAAACATTTTAATTTGTTGATATATCAACATGTGTTTTTATAACTGAATTAATATTGGTATAACTTATTGTACAATAAAGTAAAGATTATAAGGTATTTTATTAATTTATTAGTTAGTAAAATAATATTTAATAGTCATTTTAGCTAAGGTGACAGTATTTTAATTTAAGTCAATCTTATTATCTTAATGTACAAGCTATACTTATAGCTGGTAATATAAGAGGACACCACACCCACATTTGTTGTCTCAGTCTTTGAAGTGCTCAACGTATCAAATATCAGCTTTTCACATTCAATTAAAATAGTTCAATTGTAATTAGAATGAATTGGCCTATTATTAAAATTTAAGTTAAAGGTGCGTTTTTCAATGCTTTAATTTTAAAGTGAGTAAAATATTACAATTAAAAAATGCTAAAAACCTAAAAAACACAGAAATTGTTATTTCTCTTAATTTTGATGAGAGTCAATTCATTATAAGTTATAATGTTACAACTAATGAAACTAAATATGAACTGCTGAATTCATTCAATGTGTTACACACTTGTTAGACGGAGACTACAACTGAGGATGAAGCCCTCTTCAAGTAAAACATAAATAACAATTAAGAGTCATCATAATATACAATATACATAGGTGGCATATGCAAGGGTAGGGTTCTAGAGTGTAAACTCCCCTGAATCTTCTTCTTTTATCACAATTCATAACCATCATTATCAATATACAGCGCATATTAATTGTGAATCATTTTTTATAGATATAAATACATTTTAAAATAGCAATACAATCGAGAATTTTAGCTAGTAAAAAAACAAATTTAAAATCCCTATTTATTAATTTAGTTAGAGCCCCCCTCTAACCCCCTCTATACCCCCCGTATGGAGCTGAAGCACCCCATGGGTCTATGAAAAATCTTACCTAAAATCCCTAACCAAACTGAAATCATGCGTATGCTACTAATATACATAATATAAATAAAAAATATACACTTATGAGTTTTTGGCATTGTTAATTTTAAATAATAATAATTTATTGATATTCTTTAGAACAAAGGTCAAAGTCACACAGTAATCAAAATAATGTCTTGCAACCTGTTAGCAATTCCAATAACTCTTATGGACCACCAGTTCAAATTAATGGTAATTAAATGGTTTATTTACTGTTAACAATTTATCTATCTTAATTTATCAATCATAATTATTTATCCAGGTAAAAGTCATAAAAATAAAGGCAAAAATTCAAAAAATAAGAAATACACTAAAGATCAAATAGGTCTACCAGAAAATTTCAGACATGTGCAACATATTGGTTGGGATCCAGATCGAGGATTTGATTTGGGACAGATTAAAGATCCACAATTAAATACATTCTTTGCTAAGGTAAGTTGTCTATTTTTCTATAGGTAATACTTCACAATTCTAAATATTATAATACTCAAATGTTGTGCTATTCAGAAATTTAATTCAAATGATTGATATTTACATTTTTTAGAATAATATTGATAATCTTTTAAAAGTATAACACATTATAATGATCATTTTTGCAACAGGCTGGGGTTTCAGAAAGCCAACTTCGTAACCCTCAGACTCGAGATTTTATTTATGATTTTATTGATAAACATGGTGGTATGGATGCTATTAAAGAAGATGTTCAAGATTCAATTATTCCACCGCCTTTGCCAACAAGATTTCGCCAAGCTCCACCTCCACCTCCACCTATTTCAAATAATGCACCAAATACAAGAAGCCCAGCACCACCACCACCTCGGCCTAACAATGTGACTATTCCAGTTAAAAAACAAGGTAAGCAATAATCATTAAATAATATTTATATATTAAAAAACAAAAAATGTAAGTACAGTAAATAATTTTGAAAAAAAAAATAGGAAGTGGCTACCACTCTACTATACAGCGGGAGTCAAGTGAGTCGCTGTAATGGATGTGTTAAATCTGAAATCAATGATAATCATTTAACTGCGTAATTTCTTTAAAATGTGTTTTTTTTTTTTTAAATTGTTGGTTTTAATTACTGATGAGAAATCTTTTATTACATTTTCAAATCATATTTGTAAAAATTGAACATTTTATGCATTTTTAAAAACTAACAATTGGCAACTCTATACAATTTTGTCAAAATTTGAACTTTAAATGCATACAATTCTTGCTTATTATCAGGGCTCGTAAGATCATGCACTAAAAATTGGCAAAATATGCATTAGAATATGCACTAAAATGCACCTACTATGAAAACATTTGAAATGAAATATTAGGTATTTGACATTTTCACGACTCGTAACAATTAAACAAACTCATCAGCGACTGGCGTGTGCAAGAAAGCTATGCTGTACCAGTGTACAAAATTATAGATGGTTGGTAAGAAACATTGCACACGTGTATAGGTATCGTTTCGACGACGGACTATGCACGGCGGAGGATGGTAGTGGTAGCGATAAAATTGTTTCCGCGGTACTAAGCAAAACCCATAAAATCTAAATAGGGAAGTACTAGAATACTAGGTAGTCACACAAAAATAAAACAAAACACTATCATTCAGTAAACGGCAAAATAAATAAGAAACAAGAAACATTTTATGAAATAATTTGCGCTACTAACTCTAAAAAAAACGACTATATGCCAAATATGCCTTTATATCCAAAACATGCAAAAACACGCACTATTAAACTTCATATTGTTATTACTATTGTTATGAAACGGATTTGTATCTCAGTAATCATGTTTTCCTGTGTAGCAAAAAAAAAATATTTTTACCCGTTTGAGCAGTATATGGACATTTTCAATTTTTTTTCTACATATGTCAGTAAACTTTTATTTGTTGGTTCAAAAGGATTAAAAATTTAGTACAAAGTTCTTCACACATTGTTTTAATATCAGTTTAAAAATGTTAAAAATCTAAGTGAAGATTTTTTTCTATAATTATTTAAAGTTGAAATTTTGATAAAATTTGCTCAATATTTTGTTGTTATATTTTTATAGCTAAGAATTCAAAAAAAAAAGAAAAAGATCCTTTTGTAGCAAAATCTAAAAATATATAAACATAGTTTTTTAATAATTTTTATATTGTAATTTAAAATTATTATTCTTAGGTACTTGAAACTTTTGTAATATATTATTATATTAGAATCTCTATTAGAGCCTTTTCTGCTGTCAAGTAATCAAGAAAAAAAATATAACCTGTAGTTTTGATTTGCAAAATTAAAATATTTCTTTAATATTTTTTTGAAATGAACTTTAATTAGTAAATATTGTTTTAAAAATGTTTATATTTTAGAAGACTTTTTTATTCCTCCACCTCCACCATTAATGAATGCAGCTCCACCACCACCACCTCCACCACAAATGGAATTAACCAAGAGTAAGCCTGTTGAAGCTGTACCAGACACTAGATCTGCACTTTTAGAAGCAATCAGATCTGGTAAAACACTCAAGGTATGTACACTACACTTTTATGAAATAAATAAGATAATACAATTATAAAAAAAAGGTAATTTAATTTTGTTCTTTAGCATGTTGATACATCAAATTCTGTAAAAACCTCTAACACTACAGAACCCAATTCAAGAAATAACTTACTTGATCAAATAAGACAAGGCGTGGAATTGAAATCGGTATTTCTTAAAATTTACATTTGTTTTAAGACATAACATTAATATTTATTAAATTTTATAGGTGCAACCTATTGAAAAGAAAACTATGAAAAATTTGGAAGGGGATGGTTTAGCTGGGGCATTAGCTAGAGCTTTAGCTGAACGAGCTAGAGTTATTCACAGTGACAGTAGTACCAGTGACTCCAGTGAAGGTGATGATGATTGGGACGATTGAGATGTCATTATTATAGTGCGATAACATTTTTTTATTTATATTCTATAATATATTTATATTTACTGTTGGAAGTAGTTATGATTTAAACATTTTTATTTTTCTTGATAATTTGGATTAAATTTAAGTTTCATTAACTGCATTTATATTTTATTGTTACGATAATCACAGTCTTTGTATGTTGTATATAATCAATGATGTATAATGTGATATTAAATATTTTAATCATTTTTTTTTTTTTAATTTCAGTGATTAAAGTTTAAAATATTCCTGTTTCTTTATATATTTATCATGTACTATGATATATCAATATTATATATATATATATATATGTGTGTGCTAATCATCGACCATTAGGTATATTTAGTTGGATATTTAAATATTTTAAAATATATAAGTTGAATTTGTAGATCTCAAGTTACAATTTTCCAATAGTAATTTCTACATTTATGCTAAAAAAAACTAGTATACAATATACATAATATGATAATCTATCCAGGATATGAGTGGGCCGTTCTCGAACATGCAGATTAAAGGATTCTAGGCGTTCTATGATAGGTCACAACTATCATAATCAGAAGTTATGTCGTGTCAGACTACATTAATTTGTATGATGGGAATTGTTTATTTGAGGACATACAGCAGTAAACTCTAACCTTGTTAATGACATTTTTTTTCCCCCAGGGGTTATAAATTTACTAGCATTTTTATCCAACTATAAAATAATAAAATGCCAATAATTAAAGCAGAGTAAACTCAACATTAATTTTAGATAAATAAAAAATTAATAATTTGTGTAATAATATTTAAATATATTTCATAGATTCATTTTTTATTTTTATGATATCGTTTTGCAAAGGTTTCTCCAACTAAAAGTGGAAATATAAGTGTTGCATCACCATAAATCTAAAAAAAATTAAAATTAATTAATTCATTGAACTATTTTCAATGTAAAAATATTTACTTTTACTGGTGTAGCATCTGCTTTTATTTTACCCCACGAAACAGCTTCGTCCGGTCGAGCTCCAGAATCACTGCCATCGTATTCTGATGCAGTATTCAAATAAACCGAATAATCAGCACCATTTCTCTAAATTAACCAATTAATAAAAATATAATTAGAGAGTTTATGAGATGATTGGAGTAAAATACTAAGAAACTAATTTTAAAATTAGCTCGAAGAAAACAACTAAGTGTTAAATTAGTATAAAATAAAATAACACATTTAATAGATGAGACATGGAACAAGAAAATCATTAACAACAAAGATGTGTTAGGTAGCCATGTAGCGTAAAATTTAAATCAGAATAGTTTCATATTGGGAATTTGAAATACAGTTATTACTTAAGCCTTATGGTATAACTAATCTATAAACATGCACTTACCATCAAATTGGCATTACAAATATGATGTTTTATCACTCCACCTCCAATTATAATCATTCCACTTTTAGCTGCTTTAACCGCCATCGTGTTCAATCTTCTCAAATCTTGAAAAAGAAACAAAACCATTTACAATAATTAAAGATAGTACCATAATTATAAGACAATAAAACTTTAAACGGTTAAATTTACCTTTTAATATATCAATAATGAGACCAGGGTTTCTAAAGGAATGAAAGTACATCATATCTCCTAAGCTACCATCGGTTAAAGCCGGGCAAAATATGGGTATCTTATTCTTTGCTGCCCAATAGCATATTGATTGTTCATCATTTATTTCTAAGCCCAATCTTTCAATTATTTTAGATGGAGTCCAAGCAATATTCTACAATGCATACAACATCATATAAATTAGGAATTTACTTTATAGTAATATCATAACTAGAGTTAGGATGTTGATGACATAAAAAACACACGAAAATGCCCAAAAACTTAAAAAATTACCTTAAAAATGATCTACAAAACTAATTAAGTAAGTGAAAAAAATGTATTTATAAATAATAATTTTTATTAGAGATATGAGTGTAATAGTAATTTAAAATATGAATTATAAATTATAATATTAATAAATAGTTACTTATACATTTTAAGCATTATATAAAATTATTAAAAATAAATTGAACTTGGGTTTAACACTTGCTCTAATCTAAAATTTGAGAAATATGCTAGACATTATACAAAAACTACAAAAAGTGACCTAAAAGATGAAAAAATGACTTAAAAATGATGTTAAAAAACAAAAATATGTATTTATAGCTAAAAATGCAAAAAAATGCAAAATAAAATTAGAATATTTTGCAGCAAGGGAGCATAAAACAAATGTTTAGCTAGCATAGCATCATACTAACTCTAATCATAACTATATTTTAATAAATACCTGTTCTTCGAGCATCTTGTCTAAAATAGGCATGACCCAATTCTCAAATTTACAGTAGTTGTTGTTTGGAACTAATAAATTGCCAATTCTATTGAGGCCATCTTCACGGAGAGTGCTACCTTTTAATTGAAAATCTCCTATAAATGTAGGAGCTAAACATTTTATTAGGTCTTCCTCGACTCCTCCAGCAGTTGTCACTATACAATCGACCATTTTATGTTGGACAATAAAGCGTATTGCATCACGATTACCACATGAAACCATATTTGATGTATAACCAAGGAACATTGTACAATTTGAACGGCGTTTGATAAATTCGTCTTCTTCATGAATGTCTTCTTCAAATGGTTTTTCTCTTTCGTCTAACTAAGCAAAAATTAAAAGTTAATAAAAAAAAATGCACATCTACTTCTGTCGTCCAACCATTTTATTTATCTGTTCGACAGATAATCCAAAATTTGTTGCCTGGAATCCAGAATACCGATAGACCGACAGTAATTGTTCATAGTCGATTCCATTGTTCCAATCATAACCTAATAAATTGGAATAATTTAAAATAATAACAAAATCGGTACATTATTGTAATTGAACCTTTTACAGTTGGATTTTCTGACGAAATGTCCAGACTCTTTTTCAAAACTGCATCTGATGCTTTCTGTGGCTCCATACCAACGTTTGCTCCTACACGTCTTAATGAAATATACAAACTACAAAATAATTAATTACAATAATAATGTAAAATATTTTTAAATAACTATAACAGTTATGGCACAACAGGTTAGGATACTATATTAGTCATTAGAGCATCGTGCATTCGTAATTCGTGCCATGCTTTAGAATACTATTCAGATTTTAGTCCGAGCTATCATAGTTCAACTATGTTATCACCAATCACCATAATATTATTATTGTTTGCCGTTTTTGGGTTGTACGTTGGTAGCCGGCACGATTTAAAAATCTACACTGTAAATTGTAATAACAGCATATCTTAAATCGTGATAACCATTAACCGGTGGCCGGTTCTATAATAGGATAATTAGGACTCTTTAAAAAATTAGAGCCTTACTGCCTTAATATAATCTCGTTTCCATGGTTTATGACAAAATGAAGACAATAATCATGAATTAAGATTTATCTACCTAAGTCTATGTAGGACTATACTCTATTAAGATTTTAGTAAGAAATAAGTAATAACTAATACCATTGATTATAGAATAAACCCTATTATAACCCTATTCTATAATCAATGCTAATACGTTATTTCTATCAATGATTTAAGATCCCGATCGGGGATGCCAGACGAATGATGAGGTTTTTTTTCATTCAGAGGGGGGGCCTGTCCCAAGCCTGTATTTCTAAAAAATTGTATATTAAAATTTGGGTGAAATTCAATACTAAAACAAAAAATAACAATTATTATCATTTTGTTGTAGGAAATTCTAAAAATATTATTTGTGAGGACTTGGAACTTATAACATATTATATAATTATACACACAACCTTTTCAAATGCAATGTTTTTAAAAATAATAATTCGACCTAGGTCCTGACTACTAAGTACTAATTCATTAGTAATAACCTTGATTAATGCTAATAATAAAATGTATCACTTTAATAGCAATATAAATATATCATAAAATATCAAATTATACTTGGTAATATAGGCTAACAGATCGTCTTTGCTCCAAATGGTTTATCATTGAACTCAAATTAATCCATATATTACAGTGACTTTAGACTTACTACTTAATAACAGCTGAGGAGGTATACTTGACACCTAATGTACAGCAGTGCAGTTACCTATTTTAATTATTTTTAATCATAGTACTATGGTGTTAGGTTGGGCAATCGATTTATAATTCTAGATTGCCATCTTTGTATTCTTAACATAATAAAAAATAGGATCATAATAATTAATTTAATAACTTGTACACAGTACACTTGTACAAATTAAGTTAAATTATTATGTATAACCATGGTTAGGTTAGATAACTCTGTGTGTAATATTGTCTTTAAAATATTTAATTATTTCATTTTAATAGTCTTATGATTTTCATAAGATAAATTTTGTATGAAGTAATCAATAATATTTTTAAAATAAAAATGACTAGAAAAAGTTTGATTTAAAAATAACTCATTAAAAAACAATTTTAATATTGTGTTTAAAAAATATTCAGCCATATTTTGGAACATATTAAGGTTAAATCAAAAGAAATAAAGATCAAATCAAGTAATAGGTGTACATTAAATGCAAACATCTTAAATATAATTTGTGAAAAGAAGAAATACATATCAAGGGGCCGGCGGTTGTTGTCGAACAGCTTCTTTAGGGTTCTTGACCACTAAAATAACTGAATCACCTCGTAGAAACATTTTAGAAATATATTTGTCTCGACTAACAGCTTTTGCCTAAAACAAATTAGTACAATTCAATTGTTATACTTAATTCAACAGCTAACAAGCAATGTAAAATATTTACTTTTTTTTTGCCTTTACCCGTTTTAGGTAACTCAGTCCACATTTCCCGTACATTTTCTAATACCATGTTACAATGTCGGTCAAATGCTTTGATTCTTGCCAAAAGTTTTCTATTGTTACGGCAGTTTATCAACACTTGAGTATTATTACGTACAGATTGGGTTAATACCGACATGGGGCCTGTAGTGAATTCTTCTTCTTCACGTTTTGCTAACTCTTCTGGAGTCATTTCAGATTTTGGCTTGTTTGCTACGGCAGCCCTATACAAATATAAATTAAAATAGCCATAAGTGAATAAAAGACTAAAACATGTAACATTTGTTATAAATGTAATAAAAAGTACCAATCTGAACAATCATACTCACATTGTTATATGATGTATAAAAATGTATTAACAATTAATAATATTATACACAATAATTTAAATAGTTCAATGGTGTGCCCGGCAGTCTGACTTAATTGATTTAACAGTTAACTTACTTCAATACTAATTAATATAAAAACACAAATAGTAAATAGTAAATACTGAATACGGTATTATTAAATTATTATCAAAACATTTAAATGATCAAAACAATGAACATTTACGGTCCACTGGTAAAATTTGATAAGAGAATTCAGGGGCTCCCAAGATATACTGCTAAACGTCTATCTGTACAATCAATTGCCTATCTGAACCCTGAAAATCGATCGCTTTTGTTGAAAAAGTATAATAATAATAATAATGATATGACGTATTGGTACTTTCTAGTTTCTACCAGATGGCAGATTTCCGAATGTCTATTGCTGTTGTACAATTCGTCTTATCTTCTTATCCTAACTCATCCTGCTCTCGAAGAAATATTGGTGCTGCTCGGATATGCGGTCTACCGACGGAACGCGGTCTACAAACATGTATGTAGACCGCATATCTGAGCAGCGATCAAAAAACATTTAAGGATAAAATTAACCCAAATATAATATGCTGTAATATATTGTATACCTACGATATAGTTTTGGATTTTCAGCCTATATTTATTCTAAAAGACAAAATCGCTGATATACCACAGTGTTAAATACACATTTAATAAGTTTGTTCGGAAGGTTTCCTCGGAAGACAGTGATGCTGAACTACACAACGGTAGAAACCATGGACGAAGAGTCGATGGAGGATGGACCTTGGTTTTTTGGGCTTAAAAATGGTTCTGACTGCCGATATTTTTATGTTCTTCGAAGAGACAAAAACACATTACTACCTATTATTCTACGAGAGTGTGAAGCTGTTATTCATTCAGACTAATGGGCAGCCTATAGATGTTTGAAAGATAATGGATATATTCATAACACTGTTAACCACCAGCAAAACTACGTTGATCCTTTGACGAAAGCTCACACTCAGAGCATAGAGAGATCATAGTTGGATGCAAAAACAAAAATCATGAAAACGAGGAGAGGAACAACCATGCAACTTTTGCAATCGCATCTCGACCACTATTATTGGAAAGTTGCTAGAAAAGAAGGACCCGATTTATTTATTGCACTTTTGAGGGACATTATTAAAGCGGTTTATCGTTGAGGTTTTTATACATAAAATTATTTTAAATATTTTTTTACATAATTTTTAATTTTCTTAGTAAGATTTTTTTTTTGCTTTTTTAAAAAATATTTTTTACTTATGATATTGCGTATTATATTATTCATTTACATACCATTAATTTTAATGATTTTTACTAATATACTAATAATTAAAATATTTGATTATTATTTTAATTTGGTTATTTATTTACATACTACTATTACTATTTACTGTGTATTCTAGGTTAGGTTAGGTTTAATTTGGTTTAACTCTGAGTTATCGATAACTTGCCCTTTAACTCTCAGTGGTGAAACCGGCCCTTAGTGACTCATCCGACTGAAAAAATGGGTGTTTCGACTAATAAAATATAAAGACTTATAATTCGGTAAATACTTTTGATTTTGCAGTATATAAGTTTATTTTGTATTGGTCAGAGAATATAGAATCTATACACATTTTTTTATAGTTCTTAATAAATAAATGTTATAAAATGTTAATTTTTTTCAATAGGTAATTCGTTAAAATTTGAAAAAGTGCCCGAACCGAGGCAAAGTAATCTTGTTTATGCATTCAAACCAGTGACGCAATTAGGGGGGGGGGGCTTAGCCCTCTCACTACGATTTAACCTCCCATCCAAATATTATCCCTTTTTGAATTAGATATAAACGCCCTATGGGTTTTTATAAATTAATAGTTTTGTTAGGTGGGCTGTGGCCACCCCAGAATTTTAAAAATAGTTGCGCTTATGATTCAAACATCTTTACATTTTAGATCCTGTCTTCCTGAGCGGAGCGATGAATGTATTGATATTACAAGGATGTATTTTTTTTTTTTGCGTCTATCATCACGGTTTGGGGGCAGTAAAAGTGCTTCGATTTTCTTCAACAGCAACTTTTCTGGTTGGAAAGTGAATCTAGTTGGTGCATTCGGGAGGTCAAAGCATACAATTCCCAATAATTTCAAAGGCGACAGGAAAAACAAACAAAACATTGAGGAAAAACGGGAATTTTTACCCGAAACCAGTTTTCAAAAAAATTGATTTTGGTTTTTAGCGTTTAACTCTAAAAAAATTAACTGTAGATGATACATGAAACTTTCACTGAATGATTGTGTTAGTATTTTCTATACACCATACAATATTTTCAAAAATTTGGGTCATTTTGAACTATTTATATAAGCATATGAAATGTTTGATTATTATTTGTTTTTTTAAACTACTGTCGATAAAAAATGTTTCGCTCTGTCAAAAAACTTGGATAGAATTTTATTGGTTGGATCAAAATTCATGAAAATTTAATACAAGGCTCTTGATATATTGTTGCAACATCATTTGAAAAGTATTAAAATACATATCGTTTTATAATCATTAGAAGCTCAAATTTTGACAAAATTTCTCAAATGTTTAACTTTTATAGCTAAGGATTGAAAATTTAAATTCAGGTTTCACGTAAGTTATTTATTCTGCAAACAAAAAATCTAAAAATGTACATGATACATAATCATAGCTTTTTTTTAAAAGTTATTTCAAGTTCAAATTTAGACAAAATAACTTATATCAACACAAAGAATAACGATTTTTGTCATTTTGTTGTGATTCGATTCCAAAACAGTCCAAATTTACATGAGTATGTAATACAATATTTTTCCAGCATCACTGATATTTAAAAACTAATTTTATGAATAATATTATTTCAACTTACCGGCTGCCGAATTATTATTAAGTTATAACTTATAACAATATAAAATATCCTAGACTGACATACCGTCTCCTTTCAGAATCGTTTTTTGTAGACAATGATATCATATCATTGAATTCAAATTCAATTCTAAACACTACAGCGACCCTCTAGTCTCTAGAGTCTAGACATCTAATGTATAGCAGGGTAGCACCTATCTTATCCTCTTTTTTTTGTATCTAACCTTTGGACTTTTAAAGGTACTTAAATTATTGTAAGGTGTATAGCTATTTCGACAATAGCTAAGACCAAGGAAAAGAGAACACGAAAAAAAAAACAATTTTCAAAAAATTTTTAATAGAATATTAATTGATTTTGAAAATTAAAAAAAATACATTTGTAATTTGTGTGTAAAATGAATACTATGCACTCATTTAAAAATGTCTATGTGCGTTCGGCCCGTACAAATGTGTGCGTAGTAACTGATCACTTTACAGTTTTACACATTAATTACAAATGTAAGTATTTTTTAAATTTTCATAATCAATTAATACCTATATTTTAAATTTTTGAAAATTGTTCTTTTTTCCGGAATTTAGTGTTTATTGTTTCCGCTGGGAGCGCTACACCTTAATTTTTGCTCACGAAGTAGAGAAGATCTCCTCTACAATGTGTTTTTACTATAGTAGGTAGTCACTCTGTGCCTTGTGGCCGTCTTATCAGATGCCGTTGGGCAGCCAGTAATATACTCTTCAATCGTGATCTGTATTCTGTGATGATATTATACATTAGCCACCAGGATTTAAGATAGAGAATATCTATAGCCGTGCTAGCCACGAATTCAAAATTTAAGATATGGCCTATTTATTATTATTTAGTTATTAATTATTATTATTTTATCTTAGTTCGTGTCTCGTGGCATTCGTGGTGACTCGTGTCATTTGGCGTATAATTCCACTTATTATGTACAAATTAATCTATTAAATTTTAATATTTACATAATTATTTTAATTCATTTTTCTTAAATCGTTGAGCAAAAGGAAATAATATAATTATTTTTCTATGAACATGTATTTGGATACGTATGTAATCCTACTTGATAGCATAAAGTGTTGACAGCTCATTTACTTATTAAAAGTAAGTAGAATTTAGTTTTTAGTATAGCCCCAATAATATTATGTAAGCTTTAATTTTTTTTTTCTTTTATAGATAATTCAACTGACCTACTTTTAAATAATATTTTAAAATGCATATCAGGTATTGGACTAGTGTAAAACTATTTACAAAAAAATTTCATTCTTCCAGCATCAGGTAAATTATTCAGCAAATAATTTATTCTTAATTATAATTTGTATAGGTACATTTTAGTTATCTTGGTATCTTTGGCCTTATCTCAACAGTACTAATACTACACATTTTATGTTAGAAAAACGTGTTGTGTTTTGTATTCTGTACATGAATAATAAATATAAATTAGGAGGTTCAAATTGTCTATGTATTTTTTTTGTTTGAAACATTTAGTTGAACAATAATAATATTGTTTTTAGATTGAATGCTACAGTAATAGATGGGAAAAGTATTGCCAACACTATACTAAATGAATTACGCCAGGAGACTCAAGAATGGGTTTCGAAAGGGAATCGGGCTCCCCATTTAGTAGCAGTGTTAGTTGGACAAAATCCAGCAAGTAAAATTTATGTGGCCAACAAAATGAAAGCTGCTGAAGTTGTTGGTTATTAAACTATTTCAATGGCAATAAAAAAAAAACCAACTTAAACGATTATTATTTTTATAAATACATATTTTAATTAGGTATTGAAACAAAAACAATAAAGTTCAGTGCATCAACAAGTGAAAATGAGCTTCTTGCCTGTATCAAACGTTTAAATCACGATGAAAATGTTGATGGAATTCTAGTCCAGGTAAGTTATAACTATTGACAGCAAAAAAATGCACTTAACTACTTGTATTGTTATAAAAGAGTCCAACATGTGATTTATTAAAAAAGTTATACATACTGCACTCTTTTTTTTTGGACCCAAAACCTATACACTTTAAAAGAAAATATGTTACTGTTATTATTTCTATTACAATAAGTTCTATTACACTTAATTTGAACTTCCCTAGCATAGTAGCATACATAATAATATATAATCAACTAGAAAAAAATCGATACATTTTGTGCTCATAAATATATAAATATTATAATATATAATATAATTTGTACATTACAAACATGTATGCAATTTTAGTTACCACTTCCTGATCATGTTACTGAACGGACATTGTGCAATGCTGTGGCACCACACAAGGATGTTGATGGTTTAAACATTGTTAATATTGGAAGATTTTGTTTGGATATGCAATGTTTGGGACCATGCACACCGTTGGGTGTTCATGAGTTAATTCGAAGAACTGGTAAAATTAAATGCTATATTTAGGGAGTAAATATTTTAGTTTCAAATTAAAAATAAAAATAATTATTCTAGGAATTCCTACTCTTGGTAAAAATGCTGTTGTTTGTGGAAGATCGAAAAATGTTGGTATGCCTATTGCTATGTTGCTCCATGCAGATAATGCAGGTATAATTAAAGTTTAACTTGTAAACTGGTTAGATACTTTTTATAATTATTCAAAAACATGTTGTTGAAAATAACTATGCTTAAGATTATTTTCTACACTTTTATTTATAAAATATGTAATATATGCCTAACTTTACCATACTTTAACCATACTAATATATTGAAAAATCTAAAAACATTTTATCAACTATTATTATTTACTTGACCTTTACACATGTTGTAAATATCTAAAAATAATTGCCATCATTTCCCTTGATTTAGTAATCACAAATTGACAAACTCGCATTGCTATTTTTCATCCTTTAAAAAAGTCATGATTCATGGTTATTTTATATTAAAGAAAAATAAGACTATGAAAAATCACTATTTATAAAATACGAAAAAAATTAATAATTAAAGTTAATTATGCAAAGTATGTGATGTAATTTATTTTAAATCTTATATTAAGGTGAGACATCAGCAATGGATGCAACAACAACGATATGCCATCGATATACACCACCAGATCAACTAGCTTTATTTACTAAAACAGCTGATATTATTGTATCAGCAGCAGGTAATAATACTAGTTACTTATAATACTTAAAAATATAAATGTTTCTTGAAATAAACTCTGCTTGTATGTAAATCAATTAGGTGTTCCTAATTTAATTCGTGCTGATATGGTCAAACCAGGAGCAGCTATAATTGATGTAGGAATAACCAGAGTGGATAACCCGAAAACATCTAAATCATGTCTAGTGGGAGATGTTGACTTTGAAAAAGTAAAAGAAGTTGCAGGGTACATAACACCCGTCCCTGGAGGAGTTGGTCCAATGACAGTGGCAATGTTAATGCGTAACACAATTGCTGCTGCTAAAAAAACTGTGATTTACAACATACTGGATCCTGGTGCAGTAATATACAAACAAGCATCTCAAATAAAACCTTGAATATAAAGCAAGCTAAAAACAATTTATTAATTGATATTCCTGAAAAAATTTGTTCAGCTATAGATTTAAAAAAATTGTACAAGCATGTGATAATAAAAAAATTAAGTTTATCAAAATAAGCTTTAAAACAAACTACTGGCAACTTCGGATAAGATTTTTTTTGCCTGTATTATCATTTATCTCAGAACAATAAGTACTTATTTTAATATATTACTAGAATGTGATTACATCTATATAAATTGATGGAGAGCACATATAAACGAGAAAAATATCCATATGGAATTGTATTTTTCAGGAAAATAATTATTCGGACTAGATTTCTTGAGGGAAAGATATTTCAAAAGCATGGTATAATAAAGGAATGATATTTTCAAGGATTTATATTATATTCTTGGAATGATGTTTTTCTAAACAGTATATACTAAGGAAAATATAAGACAGTAAAATAATAATGTGGAACCGAATTTTTCAGGAACGGTATAAATTAGGAAAATACTGCTCAGGAGCCAGGACTGCATAAATTGGGATAACATTTTTGAGTATGTTATACACATGGATCCGTATAATTCTAAAGTCATTAATGTAGAAAATAAAGCATTTATGTGACAGGACAGTTATTTACAGGAAAATATTTTAAAATGATAAATTTAAATACTTCTATACATATAATTTAAAGACTAATTTTATTTACTTTGAATATAGTTTAATTACCTACTAAATTTTTTTAATTACTCTTTAGATAGTAGGTAGTTACTATATAGTGTTATTGTTACAATGTTACGTATTAGTTTTATCTATTATTTTTTCCATGTTTAACTGTGGTTTGAGGGTTTATTTTGCGAAGCCTACTGTACAGTACTGTTCATCTGATTATAAAGAGTAATCCTAGTACCGACATAATAATAATGGTTAATTGTATGAGAAGATGCTAAGACCATAGGCGTGTCCACGGATTTTGCCTGTCATGCACAAGCCATGACCTACGAAATTTGATCTAAATTTAAAATCTTTAAATTCGGGGGTCATATCCCAATACCCTAACAGAATTTTTTATTTGCAGGGATAGATGTAGTTTTTCTCTCCCCTAGATATGACACTGTTGTGCATAAACTGCGAATGAGGTCTGAAGACGCCTATGGCCATGACTATGGATATTATGAAGTTAATATGCTTTAATATTTTAAAAATTGAAATAGTACATTGTATTTTATTATTGTAATAACTTACTAGCTGATTATCATACGCAAAATAAAAATAATAAAAATTACAATTTACAATGAGACATGTAAGATGTAAGGTATATTATGGTTGAAATTGTAAAATTTTACTGGAATTATAATACATCAATTATTAAAGTTAATACTGCTTAAGTTATAACCAAAACTAACAGAGAAAGTGAAAAAAAGCAGGAGAAGGAGATTATATATTATCATATTAAATATAGAGTAAATAAATGGTTTCTCAAACACAATTTAGAGTTAAATTTTAAAAAAGTAATATAATATTAATTACTCAAGATAATAGAACCTTAAAAAAATTAATTATACTAAATTTTAAATAAAAAATGATTCATGTGATTTACCTAATTAAAAAAAAAAAACAAATTATATTAATAACTTGGCATCAAAATTGATCTTAAATGCAAAATTGAATTATTAAAATTTTAAATGTAAAAACTCTATTATTTGTAATTTGTAATTTGTAAATATAGTCTATACTCGATACATTATCTGTATTATTAAGTGGGTCTTTTGTGATAATTCAGTTTTAAAGTGAGGTTTGAACATTTTTAATTTATGGTAAAGCTTAACTTGTTAAATATTGAACTATTGTAAAAAACTTACATACAAACACAGATAATGTCCTTATCATCGAGTTTCATGTTTCACTCTAATTTTTAAACTAGGTAACAAAGCTAAACATGATCTGTTGAGCTTAAATTGTCCATGTTAATATGTGATATAAAAAAAAAAAAATATATCATAATATAATAATATATGCAGAGACAACAAATGCCTGTGTAGGGTCCTCTTAAAGCTCTTTCATGATATAGTTGCACACATCATACCTACATAATAAAGAAATCGAAAAGTTGTCGGAGATGTAGGTACTTTTAGACAATAGACATGTAAACTAAATAATAAATATTGGTAATATTACCCATGGTTGCCAAATATTGCACATCGTTACATTTTAATATTTAAATCTTGCTTCTGCATAAAGCAGAACTGAATAAATGCTTGTGCAGTATAGTTTAAAAAAAAAAATTCAAAATTATCCATCGATAAGGTAAGGCTATAACTGAAAAATGTAAATAAAAAAAATCAACTTGAATACGATTTAAAAAATAAAAAAAATGCGAAGGGGAGCATGGGCGCCCACAAACAAATGCATTTTAAAAATAAAAAAAAATCACATTCAGAAGAACCCACTATAAAGACCGTAGACTACAATCTCCAAATTCATTGACAGAAAGTCATTCTCAGAATAATTAGTTTATTAAACAATGATTATTAAAAAGACACCAGCTGGTTATCAGGATTTATAAAATATTTTTAAAAACGAATTAGAGTTAAACCATTGATTTTAAAATCAATGGTTAAACTAAAGAAAAATGAAAAGGGGAGCACGAGCGCCCGTAGCCAAATGTGTTTTAAGAATTAAAAAAAAAAACCGGCCAAGTGCGAGTCGGACTCGAGCATGAAGGGTTTCGTACCATTATCTATGTCATAGATGTCAAAATTTAATACCGTGTCGCAGAGGCAGAATTTAATGAAATTCTCATATTAAATTTGTTATTTATCATTTTCGTTTGATAATTTAAACTGTTAAGTATGAAGAAGAAGTCAAATAGACGGGAGAGATGATTCAAATGTGTTTTATTTTACATTTTATTACATAATGATAAATGTAAAATATTTTGGTGGGTCACGAAGGAGAAAAATATAAATTACCGGGCCAGCCAAAACAAGAGTTTGGGAAACGCTGATCTATGAGAACGGCAACAAAATCATGTCTGTTGTATGGGAGCCCCACTTAAATATTTATTTTATTATGTTTGAATATTTCAAGCGTCTACCCTACCTGTTGCCGTTATAAATATTCAGCAAAAAACAAGTAAAAAAACAAATTTGTTGTATGGGAGCCGCCTTAAATATTTATTTTATTTTATTATTGGTATTTGTTGTTGTAGTGACAAAAGAAATACGTCTTCTGTAGAAATTTGAACCGTCTAAGTATCACGGTTCATGAGATACAGCCTGGTGACAGACGGATGGATGGACAACGAAGTCTTAGTAACAGGGTCCCGTTTTACCCTTTGGATACGGAACCCTAAAAAGTACATTAAGAACTCAATATCAAAGACAGTCTACAATCTAAAAATACTTAAACCGAAAATGGTAGCCAGAATAGTTCGTTTATTAAACAACGATATTTTAGAAGCCACTATCTGGCTATCAAAGTTTAAAAAATGTTTATAAAAAAATCAACTAGAGTTAAATTATAGGAAAAAATGGAAAGGAAAGAATGGGCGCCCGAAAATGCGTTCTAAAAATTTTAATAAAAAAATTGAATGGGCTACAACTAGGGACTAGAGTTTACAATTATTCGATTCTTTAACCTGAAAATCTATTCACTAGTAGTTATTTAGGAAACATATGAGTAATCAAATATCTCATTGATGTAAAAAATGAATTTCTTAATTGGTTTAAAGAAAAAAAGTGAAAAAAAATATGATCAGAGTTCTATCGACTTTGCTCCAGTGTAATAAATAATGTACCTATACAATTTAATTATGTAACATTTAACAAGATTATACATTTTTAAGCTCATACATGGTCTGACACAGACTTCATGATAATCAATTATGATATTTTAGTATATCTATGATGACACTAATTATCTTTTGATAAATACAACAACATATTGAGATATATCCCTAGCTACATAATATGTCCCTATTTTTTAAAATAATACAAGTTTAATAAAACAACAATTATTCAAATTTACCTAAAATTTGAGATCATTGTAACATGTTGACATGCGTTTCCGTGGCATTATCTGCTAGAGCCAAAAATAATTAGAAAATGCTGCAAGTCTCGGTTTTTAAGGCCCGGTACTCGTCCAATATGCTATCTACCGTAATTTTGGTAGGTTAGGTAGGTTAGTAGGTATACCCTTACATAATACCTGTTTAGAGTGTGTTTATGAGTCGTGTTGTATTACATATTATGTATTATGAGTTTGTCAACTATGTGTCATTTATATCAACACATAATTCAAAATGATGAGATTTGAGAACATTTTTTAAACATACTCGGTTATTAGCAATCAACCAAACATGTACAAAAATTAAAAACCCAACAATTTGTGGTGTTGAAAAAAGTTCTAAAAAATAGCCGAAAGCGTGTTTCGGAAGGTAATATTTTTTAAAAACAATTTATTATCAATGTACAAAAAAAAGGTGAGAAACATTTTACTCCATACGCAAAAACAATAACCTTTTTACGTATATGAACAAAAATGGTAGTGTAAAAATTAATGGTGAAAAAAAAAATTTTTAAAAATATATAAATAATAATAAATAAAATATCATATATATATACATTATAATTTAAATAAAATGGTTTAAATTTGTGCCATATCGTAGATTTAATTTGACTTTCCGGTTGACATTATTTTTGTTGCTAAAAGAAGAAAAAACTTATAAGGAATGATTTAAAATATGTTTTCAAACAATTGAACTAAAGTTAAATTATAGAAAAAAAAATTTTGAAGAGGGGCATGGGCGCCCACAGGCAAATGAGTTTAAGGAATCAATTAAAAATAATTTTAAAAAATTATATAGAATTCAAATCTGAAAATAAAAATGGGAAGGGGGACATGGGCGCCCGCGGGCGAATGCGTTTGGAGAATTACAAAAAAAAAAGTATAAGAAAAAATGTGCTTTAAAATAAACATTAAAGACAGTCTAATATATATCTACAATATCAGTATTCCTAAACTCATAGCGTTATTTACAATAATTATTTCATGAGGAAATGAATATTATAATGAACCGGCTGGTTATCAAAGTTTGAAAAATGTGAATAAAAAATTGAACTAGAGTTAAATTCCAGAAAAAAAATTTTGAAGGGGGGC